ATGGTTGGCAAAATTTGGTCTGCGGGAAGGAATAATCACAAAGAAGAAGTTTGTAGAGAGCTTATATGTGAAAAAACTATTTTAAGGCACTGAATGTTGTATATACAATTCTGTTGCTTATGTTCCTTAAAACTGCACCCGAAAAAGTAAATTTTGTAAATGAAAATTTAAAAAAATATTTTGGATATTAGCAGAAATAAATAATGGATGGCAAATTATTTCAAATAAGTCAAATCATAGTAATTATTCATTTAATGACCTTGGTATAGGAGGTCGTGAAAATATTATCTAAATAACATCAGAATATTTTGTTTTTGTAAGACTAAAGACAAAAATTGAGCACAAACACTATATTATACATGATAAATTAGTTTTCACTGGAGTATTGAATAACAATTCTCACAGTAATTTATTTGTATCAAAGAAGCTATTACGCTAGGACTTAAAAATAAGTAAGCATATTGAAGATAATTTTTTTCATTGTTAGAGAAGAATGTTACAAATATTCAGAGAAGAGGCCAGAGTTAATTCTGTTGTGCATAACTTAAGATGGACACATCAGTATGAACACATGATACATCTATTTAATATAAACCCTTGGATGGTGATTTGCTTCTTCTGTGAGTATTCTGCAAAACAAACAAAGAGTTACAATGAATTTTAATCTAAAAATAAAAAATAATCATATGGACAGAAATCAATGCAATGGAGACTAAGAGAATAATACAAAAAATCAATGAATTAAAGAGTGGGGTTTATGAAAGAATAAATAAAATCAATAAACCCTTAGCGAACCTTATTAAAAAGGAAAGAAATGACTCAAATTCATAAAATTAGGAATGAAAAAGGTGAAGCCACAACAGATCAAGCAAAAATCTAGAGGATCATTAATACCTACTTTAAGAATGTGTCTTCTAAAAAAATGGATAATCAGAAGAAATGGATAGATTTCTAGATGCTCATGAATTAGTGCTTCATTGCTGAATTCTACAAGACATTTAGGAAAAAAAAACTATTGTTAGCACAGTTTAAATTGCTCAATGAAATTGAAAGGGCAGCAATACTTCCAAATTCATTCCTTGAAGCAAGTGTTATTTTGATTCCAAAACCAGGAAGATCCAACTAAAATAGAGAACTACAGACCAATCTCCCTAATGAACATAGATGCCAAAATCCTCAATAAGAGACTGGCAAACAGAATACAGAGGGTCATCAAGCAGATCAAACACCCTGACCAAGTGGGATTTATCCCAGGGATGCAAAAATGGTTCAACATGCACAAATCAATAAAGGTAATACACTTTATTAACAGATTAAAGGACAAAAATCATATGATCCTCTCAATAGATGCAGAAAAAGCATTCTACAAAATTCGACATCCATTCATGATAAAAACTCTCCAGAAAATTGGAAGAGATGGTCATTATCTTGACTTGATAAAGGCTCTCCCTGAAAAACTAACAGCCAACATCATATTAAATGGTCAAAAATTGAAAACCTTCAAGCTAAAACAAGACAAAGATGCACATTATCACCCTTTCTGTTCAATAACATTCTGGAAACATTAGCCTCAGCCATTAGACAATAGATGGAAATAAAAAGAATAAACATAGAAAAGAAAGAAGTTAAACTCTAATTTTTTGGTGATGATGTAATACTCCACATAGAATACAAAAAAAACTCCACCAAAGACTTCTATATTTAAATGAAAGATTCAGTAGACTTGCTGGATACAAGGTAAAACCACCCAAATCAATAGGCTTTTTGTACAGAAATAAGAGACTCACTGAGAGAGAAATTAGGGCAACAATAACCTTCACAATAGCATCTCAAAAAAGGAAATACCTAGGAATCAATCTAAAGAAGGAAGCAAAAGTTGTTAAAAATTCTAGACATTGTTTCTTTCTCTAAAGAACAGATGGAAAAAAATTATTTCCACACTTGTCTCTTCACTCTGTTGGTGTTTTTTTTGTTGTCCAAAAGATCCCAGCCCAGTTATTGATCATTTGTGAAATTTCCTGTGAGATCAGGGTTTTGTTGAGAAAATCTTTGCTTGCATCTGTCTTCAAGTGTTCTACCTATTCTCTTTTTTCTCTACCAGCATATTTAGTGTTCCCTTCTCTCTCTCTCTCTCTCTTCTTTTAGATTGAACCTCATTATATAGTCCAGATTGGCCTTGAGCTCCCAACGCAGCCCAGGCTGGTTTTGAACTCTTGGCAGTCCTACTGCTTAGACTTCCAAGTTCTGGAATTAACAGGCATGCACCACCACACCTGGCAGTTTTAAAATTAGATTGTTCATACATTCCATTTTTAGTTTAATGCATGATGATAGATATGATTATGGAGGGAATCACAATATTGATTATGCCCAAAGCAGGGCATAAGTAATGCAGGCTGTGAAGAGTTAACCCCAAGATTGGCTTGTTTTGAGAAACAAGTCTGGCTGAAGCTTATGTGCTGAGGTCAGAATAACTCACACCCTAATACAGCTCCCACAAATGAAACCGTTTTTTACTAGAAGGACAATGTTCTAGTTACAATTATATATTTTTCTATTCTGTTTTTAATTTGAGAATGCTTTATCTTTTCCTTTATGAGTCTTGTCTCCATTAGTTTGCTTAGAAATTTCATGATTGTGCATTCTCACATGTAGGTCTCCATTACCACAATTGATTACTCATAAAAATCAGTAGCCCAGATAGACCAGTGCCTTTCGCTAAATTGGGTTTGGTCATCTTGATGCTCTGTTTTCTGTCTCTCTTAATTAAATCTTTTAATTTTTTCTCAGGCTTGTATTGTACACTGAACAGGAGACTAGAACCTACTGCAAAGGATTCCAATAATGTTTGAGGGTTAACAGTATACTCCCAGTTTCAATGTTCAGCATGTGGAAAGCCAGTATTACTAGCACCATTTATTAAAGAGAGTATGTCTTTTTTCCAGTGAAGGTGTTTGGCCTTTGTGAAGATAAGTTTGTTGAGTCTGTTTGGAATTGTTTCTGCATCTCTTAATTTATTCCAGTATCCTCAGATATGATTTTTAGCAAGTATCATACTGTTTTTATCAGGATAGCTTTGTAGTATAATTTCAAGTTAGGGATTGTGATGCCTACTATCTTGCCCTTGTTGCCTAGAATAGTCTAGAGCTATTCTGGTTCCAAATTAATTTTAGGATTGTTATCTCTACCTCTGTGTAGTAAGATACTAATATTTTAATTGGGATTATATTAAGTCTGTATAATAATTCTTGAATTATCTTCATTTAGACTATATTGCTTCCTTTTTTTTTTTTTTGGTTTTTCTAGAGACAGGGTATTGCTATGTAGTTGAGGCTGACCTGGAACTCACTATGAAGCAAACTCACAGCAATCCTCCTGACTCAGCCTCCCAAGTGCTGGGATTACAGGTATGCACCACCAGGCCCTTTTTATATTGGTTCTTTCTACCCAAGAAAAGTGGACAGCTTTACATTTTTTGTTATCCTCTTCTGTCCTTTTTTTTTTCAGAGTACTGTATTTTTCTATGCAAAGGTCTTTAATTCCGTTATTAGACTGATGTCTAAGCATTCCTTTTTTTAATGCTACTTTGAAATGTGTGATTTTCCTAATTTCTCTCTCTATGGGTTTGCTAAATGTGTACAGGAATGGTATTTATTTTTGAATGTTGATTTTGTATCCAGCCATGCTATTGAATTTTCTTATTAAATCTAAAATACGCTTGGTGGAGTTTAGTGCGATGTTCTATGTATAGCATTATGTAATCTGCAAATAATGATCATTTACAGTCTTCCTTCCTTCTTTCCCTATACATATTCTTTTCATTTTTTCTTTTATATTTTCTCTAGCTAATGATATCTGAACAATATTGAGTAAGAGTGGTGATAGTGGCTATCCTTGTCTTATTCTTGATTTTAGAGTAAAAGCTTTCATTTTTTGAATATTCAGAAAGATATTGGCTATTAATTTTTCATAGATGACTTTTATAATTTCCTGTTGAATTAATTCTGCTTGGATTCATTGAGTTATAGTCTTTGTTATCTCTTTCTAAAATGTTCCTCATAACATTTTGAATTGCTGATTTTGTGGTCATGAACTTCTTCAGATGGTCTTTGTCATGGAAGTATATCCCATTTCTCAATCAATTTGGAAAGATAGTTTTTCAGGATACATCAATCTGGGTTGAAGATTGTCTTCTTTTAGGGTTTGAATTACCTCAATCCAAGCTTTTCTTGACTTAAGGGTTTATGCTGAGAAGTCAGCTATGATTCTGGTGGACTTTGCTCTATAGGTGATTTGTTTCTTTTCTCTAACAGCTTTTTTTTATTTTAAAATGTTTATTCTTATATTTTACATCGAGCAGTTCAAGAAAGTAATTACAATGATTTCAAAACGCAATCATACTGAACCAAGGAATTCAATTCATGGCCTTCATAATTATACTTAATTGATACCTAGGAATGCAAGTAGACACTAAACTAGCTAGTGAGTAAAATAGCTGCGTATAAATCTCAGTCACAGGTATGCAATCGGGTCACTGTTACCGTGTTAGTAACATGATTCACATTCATTTCTATCACATCACATCCATTTCAAATGCTAACAACATAAAACTATAATCTTTGTTACCTTAAAAGTTCAGTTTAAAAATATGAAGAAATTGAAGAAGAAAATTTCAGGACTCTTGATCAGAAGCTTTCAGTGCATATGATACTACTTTGGTGTCAACAAAGGTTCAAGGAAGGAAAGGAAATAAGAGGAAAGAAAAATGGAAACAAAGCTTTTGTGAATAAAGATGGGGAGGAATGGGGATTTAGCTCAGTGGTTCCGCTGTCTGCCTCGCAAGCACAAGGACCTGAGTTTGATCCCCGGTACCAAAAAAACAAAAGAAAGAGGGGAAAAGGGTTGAAGGGAGGGGAGGGGAGGGAATGAGAAAAAAAGTAGCAGCAAAATATATCATGTACGGGTACAAATTCCCTATAATGTTATTATTATATATCTAAAATATACTAGTAAAACAAAGGGGGAAAAAAAACCCTGCAAGAGTACTTTCTTTACCAGCTGAGGACCTGTTCTAAGAAAGGAGCTGGCTTTCCGCAGAACTTAGCTAAGCTGTTGAGATGTCCCAGTTATGGACTCCTGAGGTTAGCAACTGACCGCCTTTAGAAGGCCTTGGCCAGTGTTACAAAAACAAAACACTTAAGAGGAATATTTGTAAGTGCGAGCACAACTGGGCTCCTGCCTTCTATAAATCATCATGTGTGGATGCCTAAGGGCCCCTAGCTGCGGCTCTTCTTAGGCTGGAGAAGCTGGAGGTGCACAGGGAGCTCTCTACTGATGGACCTTCTCAAAGTATTCTTTGGAAGCTGTTGGACTTGGCTTGATCTGAAAATAAAATACAGTAACATTTAATGGGTAATGATGACTTTATAAAAAGTTTCAAATTTGAGTTAAAAAGTTCTCAATTTTTAATCTAAAATTTTTTTTTCTTTTTTCAAGATTGGTCTGTTTCCTTCCGAACACACCAGTGAAAGCTAGCTAACAGCCTGCCTGGTCGCTGGCTCTCCCACTGAGCCCCGGGGCTGCACCCATCTGCATACAACCTTGAGGCAGAGGACCCAGGACCCTGGGGTGCTCTGGGGAAAAAAACCTACTGTAGGGGAATCTGGTGTCCAGTTTGCTGGGCAGACTTCTCCATGGGTTTCCACAAACTGGAATGCCTTCACCAAGCGGAGGGTCTCTTCCACACTTCGGCCCACGGGGAGATCGTTGACACTCAGATGCTTGATAACACCATTGGGGTCGATGATGAAGAGGCCTCTGAGTGCAATACCAGGACCTTCCAACAGTACACCGTAGTCCTGGGAAATCTGTTTAGTTAAATCCGACAAAAGGGCTATGTTCATGTGGCCCAAACCGCCATTCTTCCTGGGCGTATTGATCCAGGCAAGATGAGTAAAGTGGGAATCCACTGAGACTGCGACAACTTCACAGTTCACATCATGAAACTCTTTGGCTTTGTCACTAAAAGCAACAATTTCTGTGGGACACACAAAGGTGAAGTCCAGAGGATAGAAGAAAAGCACCAGATATTTGCCCCTAAAGTCTTCAAGGCTTAGCTTTTAATATTCTATCCTCATGTTAAATTGAATCTTGACTATTATATAACTTTGTATATATTTTTTACATTGGTGTTCTATTTGCCTTACAGCTGGATGTTAATTTCTTTTTCCTTGCTTGGGGAGTATTATGCAATTATTTCTGTGCACAGTATTTTTATTTGTGTTATTTTCTGCTATTTCCTTGACTCTGATCAATCTCATGTTATTCTTCTTTACATCATTTGGCAGCACTTGGATTAATTTTTCTTGGTCCCTCACTATTTTAAAGAAAAGTTTCTTTACATGATCACTAATCTCATTCATGTCTTTTAGATCTAATATCCTGTCCTTATATTAGTTCATTCTACGGTGTATACTTTCAATTGAATTTTTCATCTCTTGGGTGTCTGTTTGAATTTGTTTTATGAATTCCATTTCTTTTCTATGTTGGACATTCTTGGTTTCTATCATTTTCCTCCTCTCCTCTTTTTTATTTGTATCTACTGTAGATTTACTAGCCATGTCCTTCATTAGTCATCATGTCTACTTATCTGAGAAATTATTTCTAATTTGATGTGGAATTTATACCCTTATGGTGATTTTACCCTCAGGGGAGAAAATTTAAAAGGTGTTAAATGAAAAAAATAGAAGAAGAGAAACAGATTAGGGGCAAAGTGAACCAAAAAATAAGATTACTCAAATTTCTTGGATATGGTGAATAAGACGGGAGGGAAAGAAGAAAGGATGAGCCAGGAATTTAGCTCAGTGGTACCACTGCCTTCCTTGCAAGTGCAAGATTCCAAGTTCAATCCCTGGTACAAAAAAAAAATGGGGCAGGGGTTCAGCTCAGTGGTTTTTCTGCCTTCCTTGCAAGTACAAGGTGCTGAGTCTGATCCCTGATACTAAAAAAAATGAAAAAAGGATAAAACAAAAACAAGAACAGAAAAAGCATACAACAACAAAATTAGAAACATTTATTCTCATTAATATAAAAGCAATAAATAACAATGAAGAAAAAGAGAAAAAAGCAAAGAAGAAAAAAATGTCCACTTTAAGGCATGTCTCTTTTGTCACTGGTAAACAGTGGAGACAGATAGCCTGGATCCACGTTGATTGATCCCAGCATGCCAGCAGTAGATTTAAGACAGAGTGTCAGATAATTCCATCAAGGCTGCGACTTTAATTCCACTGAAGTCCAGGGTACTTCAGGCTTCTGGTTGGGAAGTTTGGTCCTCTGTTTTTTGGCCATCAACACCCCAATTGCCTCCTGCTGGCTTGAACTCCGCTCACTGCAGACTTAAACTGCTCCTTAACCTCCTGCTGGCTTGAACTGGGCTGACACTCAACGTTACATTGCCCACTGCTAGGTAGGCCCAACCTACAGTTGCTCTATATTCTGAATTCACTTGGTTCCTTTCCAAAATGGTAACTGCTAATCACCGTGTCCTGGGGGTGGAGGCATTTCGACTGAAAAAAATTCACCAGGTACTGCCATCTATAGCATACACTGCTCTGTTGCACTGATGCACTTCTCCTTCAAGACCTCTAGGATTGTGTCTGAGGATCAAGCCACCTCTCCCACACCATAAACCAGGTTTAAGGGAGAAAGTTCCATTTGCCACCTCCCATTTCCCACTCTGTTTATTCTCCCTGTGAACTCCAGTTCTTACTTCAGTTCTTTGCTGAACAATGCAGATACACTTACCTCATTCTTCTTTTATTCTCATTGCTATATTTCACTGTCAGGACTCCAAATTTCAGAGAGGCTGTTTGTCTGACGTTCACCACTCTGTCATCTTCCCAGAAGTCTTGCTTATTTTTCTATACATTATGCTTTTTTTAAATTATTTTGTATTATATTTACATTAATTTAATTACTTTTTTCATTTTTTTAGCTTTTCTCTCTTTTTCCAATATGTTTGCCGTACATAATGATTACCTTCACTGGAGGGGATTGGTACATATACACAGTACATTTTAATTCCCATCTTGGTCCCTCCCCACCCCTTTTATTTTTGCAGCATTAGATTCGTGTATTTTTCTTACATGACCTTATAAAAATAACCACACTAATAGGCTAAAGAACACAGAAAATTTATAAGAAAATTGTACTAAATTAAGCTATATTTTAGATACACTGTCTACAATAGTTTGCAATATTTTTTGTTTTCCATATTACCTGCCTTTTATTTCATACTTCATATATATTGAGTTTTTACATGAAGAAAACCATGCAATATTTAATCTTATATGTTGAGTTAGTTCACTTAATACTGTAGTCTCAACGTGCACTCATTTTCATACAAATGACTCAAGTTGATGCTTTTCTATGGCAGAATAGTGAATAGTAGTCTTTTGTTTATAAACATCATGTTATTTTGTCCATTCATCTGTTGATGCACATATGGGCTGTTTGAAAGATTTAGCTATTATGGATTGTGCTGCTATAAACATGTTATGCATACAACACTGTTGTATGATGTCCTTAACTCTTTCAGAAGATACCTATAAAGAGAATAGCTGGGTCAAATTGAATTTCTATTTTTACTTCTTTTAAAAATGTCCATAATGATTTTCACAGTGGTTTTATCAATTTATAGTTCTACCCATAACTGATAAATGTTCATTTTCCCCACAGCCTTACTAGCTACCATTTGTTATTCTTTGATTTATTTGTGGTAACAATTCTTTCTGGAGTGAGATGAAATCTCATTGTTGTTTTAATTTGAATCCCTTTTTTGAGCACTAATACTGAGCATTTTTTATGTATTTATCAGTCATTTCTATTTCTTCATCAGAGAAGTGTTTATTTATTTCAGATGCCCATTTTTAAATGGGTCTTTAAATTTGTGTCTTTCATTTTTTGAGTTATTTATATATTCCATATATTAGTACTTTATCTTAGGAGAAACTGGCAAGCTTTTTCTCATTGTGTCATTTGTCTTTTCACAGTGTTCGTTGTTTCCTATGCTGAGCAGTAGCTTTTAATTTGATGTGATCCCATGTGTTGACTCTGGTTATTTTTTGTGCAATTGGGGATTGTAAAAGAAAATCTTGTCTACACTTGTATTAAAAGTTTTCCTTATTCTGTCTTCCAGCAGATTGTTTCTGTTCTAATGTTTAGATATTTGATCCATTTTTATTTTAGTTTACTGCCTGGTGCGATACATTGCTCTAGGTTCAACCTGCAGAATGCAGATGGCCAATTTTCCTAGTACTTTTTGTTAAAGAGGCTATCTTTCCTCCAGCTATGAGATTTAGGCCCATTGTCAAAAATAACATAGCTAAGTTAGCCTAGACTTGTTGATGTATCTTTTAAGTGTTCCATTAATCCAATAGTTTTTTTTTTTTGCCTATACCATGCTTTTTAATCATTGTAACTCTGCAGTATAATTTGAAGTCTGAGATAACAATGCCTCTGCCTTGCTCTTCTTGCCCAGAATTCCTTTTGCTATGTTAGGTTAAATCTATATATCAGTTTATGAATTATGGCCATTTTGACTATATTTGTTCTGCATATCCAGGAGCAGGGGATATCTTCCCATTTTCTGATATCATCTTCAATTTCCTTTTTCAGAGTACTGCTGCTTTAATTGTAGAGTTCTTTCACTTTCTTTACTAGGTTAATTCCTAGGTATATAATTTTTTCTTGATGCTACTGTGAAGGATATTGTTTCCCTAATTTCTCTCTCAGTGAATTTATTATTGTTGTACAGTAACAGCACTGTTTTTTGAGAGTTGGCTGTGTATCCGGTTACAATGCCAAATTTGCATATTAATTCTCAAATTTTTTGGTGGAGTTTTGGGAGTCTTCTATGTAGAGGATCATATCATAATCAAATAATGATAATTTAACTTCTTTCACTATCTGTATTATTTTTATTTCTTTCTTTTGTCATACTGTTCTAAGCATTTTTTGAAGTAATACATCAATCAGTAATGGTGATAGTGGACATCCTTCCGTTGTTCCAAATTTAAGAAGAAAATGCTTCAGATTCTTTCAGTTTAATATGATGTTAGCAGTTGTTTTTTCATTGATAAATTTTATCAATTTGAGATGAAACCTTCTATTCTATTATTCAGTGTTTTCATTGAATAATCAGTGAGTCACACATGAGGTAAAAGAAGAAATTTGACAGTTTCTACAAAGAAAAAATGATGCCAGTAAAACCTCCTAGAACCTATAGAATGTAATGCATGCTGTTCTAAAAGGGAAAATCATAGCAGTGAATTCACACATCAGATATATAGAATAATGCTAAATAAATAACCTAGTAATGAACCAAAACATCCTAGAAGTATAAGAACAACCTAATTCCAAAGTGAATACAAGGAAGGAAATTTTAAACAATAGGGTAGAAAATAATGGAATTCAGTCTAAAAACAATGTAAACAACCCATTATTTGAATTGTTGGTTCTTTGAAAGATTAAATAAAATAGACAAACACCTAATCATACCAAAATAAATTTTAAAAGTCATTAATTCATGCAATTAAAATGAAAAAGATGAAATCACAGTGAATATTTCTGAATTTCAGAAAGTTATCAGTAAATACTTTGAGAACCTGTACTCTAATGAAATGGAAAATTCAGAGAAAATGGATACATTTCTAAATAAATGTGACTACATAAGCTGAACTAAAACGACATACAAATTATGAATAAGCCAATATCAGTTAATAAAATTGAAGACAAAAATTTAAAAATATAATAAAAAAGAAATAAAAAGAAAAATATAATACAATAAAGAAGAAAATAAAGTGCTGTATTTATATACATAGTACTACTTTTCCTCAAAGAAGGATAAACTTGAGACAGTTTTAGGTAGATGGGTATTATTTAGGGGTAATCTTAAGAGAAATGTATCAGGCACCCATATCTAAATACCACACTGTTTCTCTTGTGCCAGAAACCCAAAGTGTAAATAAGGCACAAATTGGAGACTAGATTTTAGAGCATAGATAAAATTTGTGCAAGTTGGATGGGGAAAAATGGGGAGGGCAGGAAGTGAAAAGAGATTTTTAAAAGAGAATGGAAG